GTAAAAGATTTAGATCTTCTTTAATTGCCTTGAGAGACAATTAGGGAAGGATGATTGGCACTCGTAGAAACACTAAATCTTAGGATTCAATCATAATCATCTTCAAATCAAGGTAATCTGAACCCTCATCTTTAATCACATGGAATTAGAGCTAATTAGGGTCTCTCTTTCATTTTTACCCAATTAGGCACACAAAATATTTATGAACTGATCTCTTTTTCTATGGTACAAAGCTAGCAACTCCATTGTAATCAAACAATTGTGAATAACTAGAGCAGCATATTTCATATTTCATTTCTCAAAGTGCTAGCAAAAAAGAACAAAAAACCAAACAACAAGCAAGCAGTTTATTACTTGAGACAAAATTAATATCTTGATTTATCAGATCACTTCAATATTATAAAAAGAAAAATACAAAAATGGTCATTTATGCTCACATCTTCTTCTGTCACTGGTTCACCAGGAACTGTAACTGGCACTGGTTGAGGCCCTAGTTCTTTTTTGTAGATATTTTGCATTTCGTCAGCAACAGCTTGAGCCAATGAATCCTATATTTGCAGTAGTGAAGCAAAATTCAGTGAGATTTGCAAAGAAAAAAAAAAGAATTGAGAGAGCTATTCATTCAGAAAACTATAAAAAGTTTGATCTAGCTAACTTTAAGAAAGCCAATTAGCATGAAATATAAATAAACAAACAGAGTATTATTACTTGATGAGCCTCAAATGGAGGATTGAATGAACACCCTGGCGGCTCCACTTCAACAGCTGGAATGAGTGTAGCCTTCTGCTTCTGCAAGATCAAAAAATTGGGATGATAAGACCAAAAAAATGCTAGGCACCTAAGATACAGAAGAATATTCTCGAACCAGAGGACTACTTACCAATCGATATGCTTATTTTAAAATAACCATAAAATTTTACAAAGAAAAACATAGTCTAAAGTATAAAACAGAATTATTACACTAGAATGATAAGGTGACATCATATATGAGTAATCTATCTCATTAAGATAACAGAAACATTTTGATAAGCATAAGTATATGCTTCCGCACTGCAGACAATAACTGATTGACTCAACCTCTAAATCCCCAATCTCTTCAGGCTTTATCTTCGTTTACATATCATTTTTGTATCAATTCACTTGGGAGTTTTGAGTTTTCTAGACATTCTACCTGAAAAAAGTTGTACGTCTCCACCACTATATGCTAGATAAGGGACTAATATCTTGTTTTTCATATGCTAGAAAGAACAGTAAAACCTTGTCTCATGACTTGCGGTGGTACACATAAATTTTTCAAGATGCTCCATCTAAAAAACTTAGTAGCTTAAACTTGCTTTAGTATGTTAAGGTATGATTACGAGGCGTTGGTGGTACAAACAAGCATCACAATCTACACTTTCTTATAAGTGCCAATGACTTGATACCAGAACTTATCTACTAGGATATAGATATAAGACATGACAATTTCACCTTTCTGGTTTTGCCAGCTGCTTCGCCTGCAAGATTGATGACGAAATTAAAAATTTTGCTTCCAAAATTTAAAAAAAAATATTGAGTATATAAGTCACAGAAGAAACCTTCATCACCCCAAATGTCAGTTAGATTAGAAGTTGTATCCTCTTCCTGAAGGCATAACAACATAAGATAGGTAAATAATAAAAATTCAAAGCTGATTGCAGACCATGGAAGCATCTTAAAATTAATTGCATACCTTGGGGTCCGTTTGAGCCTGAGGTTTTTCTGTATTAGCTTTTTTCTTTTCCCTCTTCAGTTTTTTCAGGGTAGAAGATGGAACAGCTTGCACGAAAGGATTCTTCTGTAGCAAGCTCTCATAATGGAGAATTTTCTCCTTATGCTTCTCAATCTTTCTTTTTGGCGGAATTTCTGTGGCAGCACCAAAATTTTCAATAATACCTCACAGTATAGAGTCCGAAGAGTGTGAGGAGTGCTTGTGTAGAAAGAATTATCGAATACAAGCATCACCACAAGAAAAGTAGAGATGAACTAAAGGGTGTGTCCTACATGGGAACAAAGTGGATCGGTCACTTGTGTATTTTTAAGAAGGGTGAGTAAAACAGTCCTGTAGATGATTCTCAGCCAAAAAGGGAGCCTTCATCCTCAAAGACATCCGAGGCATTTCAAGAAGATATACCGTATGCTAAGCTAAATGAAAACAAATTTTATTCCTCAAATCGTATGAATGTCGCATTACATGATGAGCCATAGGATGACTGACAGCCCAAAGAAACTATATCCACAAATAAAATTTCCTGAAGACAAAACGATGCACACTAAGTAGTTATTCAAAGCCCAAATAGTGCAAGCAATTATATTTGACAACCAAAACATCAAGTGAAAAGAACTACGAGCGACCGTGTGTATTATCTCGGAAGCAAAAAGTCACAGAAAAAAATGGCTGACAATGTCTTGAATACTCGTTTTCATTCAACGAGCACCTGATGTGCGATGACAATTGCGGAAACAAGGGAAAGGTAAAGAGGGAACAAAAATCCAACATCGCGGTCGGATCTTTACGTAAAACGAAGGAGAACCGAAACCCTGGGGTAGAAGAAGCGCACCGGCGTTGGATTTGGTGTCGAGGTAGAAAAGGGAATCGCTGGGGAGGGAGGCGATGGTGGCGGCGCGGCCCGTGAGGGCGTCCTTGGTGGACTTGTCGAAGTAGTCATCGATGTCGTGGGTGCTGATGTTGGCCCTCCACGCCTTCTTCCCCTTCCGCGATCCCTTCGCCGCCTTCCCCATTCTTTCGCCCCTTACTAGCCTCCGCCGCCGCCGCCTTCGAGATGCGAGGAAGGGTTGATGACGGGTCTCGTCAATTTAAATACGCCGTGAAGGGAACAATAACTCAGTAATATTATTTATACCCTTTTATATCTTTAATATTTTATCAAATTTGATCTTATTACATAAATATTCTCAATATAATTCAATTAGATTTAAAAAATAATTATACATACTAATGAGTTGTTCTTTTTGTATATATACGATTAATCCTTTAATAGAATTGGATCGCTCTTATAATTCATTGAAATCAATCAAAACATTGTGATAGTCATAAATTTCATATATTCGATGACTGTACGACTATTAATTTGACTATGCTCTTAAATCAAATAAATGGTGATTTCTAACGCACCTAATCGCATGCGACGGCGTCATTCAAAGGTATCAACGGCCAGCAGCAGCCGAGACAAACGACCCCACCGCCTACCAAATCCCACGTGAGTCACCCACCGTTCGCGTCCAAAACCCGCGCCTCCTTTGTTCGGAAGCATTTCGGGCCCACCTTCTGGAGTGGCCGTTCTTACCCGACGACATCGCCACCCGTGCCGCGTCACGCCTCAACCAGTCTTGACCCGGCTGTTCGCCACATGGCGGCCCTCGTGGAGGACCTCCGCCCATAAATCCGCCCCTAGAAGCCGCCGCCGCCGCCGGCCCAGAAGAAGCCTCGTCGAATTCGCCTGGCAGTTCCTTCGAATCCAATCCCCGTCCCCGATTCTCGAGGTGCCTAAAAAGCTTCGATCTTTGCCCGCGATCGAGCTCCATGGTGACACCCAATCACAGCCTCGGAGTGCCCGGCCTCAGCGCCGGGCCAGAGCCACACCGCAGGAAGCAGCGGGGGGAGGCGCCGACGGCCACGGCCCACGCGGAGGTGTACGCCGGGTCGGGATTCTGGAACTCGCCGTCGCCCAGCTCGTTGCCGCTGCCGAGGTTCTCGCTGAAGAAGGACGCGCCGGCCGTGGGGGAATTCCTGGCCACCGTGGCGCTTAGGCGAATGCTTCGGCTGGAGTAGCACGCACTCCTAGTCGATATGCAATCGGGTCGACCGCTCGCAGTCGATGTTTTTGAATGACGGATAAGAACAGATCTGATTGTCGATGAAGAAAAAGAAGATTAGATGCACAGTTTGAGATCTCTTCTACAGTGTGCATTGTAACGTTATGTAGTGATGTTAGACTAGATTTGATGAAATGTTGACTCTGATAAGCAACATTTGTTCTGCTATATATTTACTTTTTATTGAATGAATGCATGGGCTAATTATCTCATATTTTTCAGCAAGAAAAATTGTAGTCAAGAAGAGAAAAGACATGTGGAAACTATCTTTGAATGGTAGATGCGTGAGAACTTTGCATTACAACGCCGCCTCTAAATTAGTGGCATGTTTGTCAGCCACTTAAGATGCAACAAGTAATTAAAGGCGATGCAGATTTCATATACATATTAAGGTAGATTAATCAAGTAGAACAAAGTTTCCTATGTGCTTGGGGTTTGAAACAAGAGAATCGAAGGTAAGAAAGGTGCAGTGGCTGATAGAAATGCCACCTCGGAAGAACCCATTTGCCGCATGAAGTTACACCAAACACATTCTGCAGTTGGTGTCTTCGTGAAGCAGCAAGCTTTCACCTCATCACACGAGATGCTTAGAATCTCGTTCTGGTTGCAGGTTGACGAGCACAACGTCACCTGAATGCGCTGCCAAGGAAAACTTTCCTCGCAGTGTTCCCGGACATGGCACTCCTCCCTCATTTATGTGCATTGCGTACTGTTCAGGACTACGGGTTTTCCCTTGCAAGCATGCATGCATGTCAGCATCAGATGATCTGCTGCGAAAGCATCGACTGTTAGGTGAAGTTTTAGTCCGAATCAATAGCCTGCATTTGACACGAAACCTACGCGATGTCAACCTCAGATTCACGACAAAAGGTGTGTGGAAAGTTATCAGAAAAGTACAAGTTCATAAGCACTTGCAGAGCATAAGGAATATGGGAGGGAATAGTGATGGCGGAGAGAAGGGAAAGAACTAACGTTCAAGCCGTATCCACCAACCAAGCCTCAGCTTTGGCATCACTTTGAAGGATAACCAGCGACCTTTAGGTGGCAAGCATGTCGTTCTTGCAAGCAATCATCACCATCTCCACCACCACTTACGGTCTCCCCATAAGTAGAGGTGTAGAGTTGGAAGGATCGCAGCTAACAGCAACATGGCGGGAGGAGACCAAACAGAGTCGCTAACCAGCTCCTCCAAGGCCACAAAGACCGTGGCGGACAAGACCTTGAAAGGCTTCGGCAACCTCATCCGCGTCCTCCCCAGCGGCACTGTCTTCATCTACCAGTTCCTCAACCCGCTCCTCACCAACAAGGGCGATTGCCACGTCGTTAATAAGTACCTCACCGGCGCCCTCCTGTGCTTCTGCGGCTTCTTCTGCTGCTTCTCCTCGTTCACCGACAGCTACACCGGGAGCGACGGGAAGCTTCACTACGGCGTCGCCACCAAAGACGGCCTCTGGCCGTTCTCCGACGAGAGCTCCGGCTCCGTCGACCTCTCCAAGTACAAGCTCCGCTTCGGGGACTTCGTGCACGCGTTTTTCGCGCTGGTGGTGTTCGCAGCGATCTCTCTGTTGGACTCCAACTCCGTCTCCTGCTTCTACCCCTCCTTCGGGTCCCAGCAGAAGGTGGTGCTGATGGTGTTACCTCCGGTGCTGGGCGCCATAGCGAGCTCGGTGTTCATGGTGTTCCCCAACACTCGCCACGGCATCGGCTACCCTCCCTCGGAGACCACGTCGGATTCCTCCTAAGAGCGATGGGTTATGTGCTGCTTCGTGCTAACATCGTAACGCGCAAGGACGTGAGAAACTATGCATGCAGTTCTCTGCTCTATATGTTCAGCTCATTTCAGTAAAACGAATCAACTCACGAGTTACCAGTAACAGTTGATGATTCATCTAATGTTGTGATCTGTCCTTTGATCATAATTGCTAATTTTGGCATTAAAATAATTGGTAATATGAAATTGAAATTATGGTAAGATAATACAAAAATTGATTTAATAATTGTAATAAAATTGTAATTTCTTGTTTTACTCACCGCTTCGCTTACTCGTACCACTTTCTATGTGCTTCCGCCTCCGAAGAAACCGCCGTTATCTGTCGGACGTTGGCCTTTATCTATGAAGCATTTGACGGACATTATATGCCGTCATTCTCGTTGGAAGACGCGGGAAAGAGAGCGCCGCCACTGGTCTGGCGTAACCCACGTGTCGCGTTGACCGCGTCCCCCATCGACCGTAGGCACTCGTCCACTTATGATCAGAGTTGACCGGACGATTGCATTTAACGATGATTAGGATGTGGTTCTCTGTTTCTGGGCTAAATCGATTGCCCCCCAAAATCCAATAAACCAAAAGCTTTTATGGCGACGTGACAGCTCTATTTTGGTTTTCGTTTTTGTGCGTGTTAGGCACTGCCATCTCCCAAGGCGGCCTCCAAGCTCGGTCAAGCCGCCGCTCTCTCCTTTTCCGTTATCTTTCCGCGCTCTCGGCCTCTCTCCCTATATAACCTCATTCGCGTCTCCCCTCCCACCGCAAGGCAGCCTTCTGTCTCTCTCGTTCGCCTTGCTTCGAAGCTGAATCCTTGGTGGGGAAATTGCGATGGCTCCGAGGGCAGCGAAGGGCGGCGAGGCAGAGAGGGAGCTTAAGGAGGCGCGGTTCCGGGGAGTGAGGAAGCGGCCGTGGGGGCGGTACGCGGCGGAGATCCGCGATCCAGTAAAGAAGACCCGCGTTTGGCTCGGCACCTTCGCCAGCGCGGAGGAGGCGGCACGCGCCTACGACGCCGCTGCCCTCCGGTTCCGCGGCCTCAGTGCCAAGACCAACTTCCCCTGCCCCGGTCCTCCCCACGCCCTCGCCAACCCCTTCAGCCCCACCAGCAGCAGCGGCACCGTCGAGTCGTCCACCCCTTCCTCGAAGGCCACAGCGGCCGCAGCAGTCCTCACGCCGCTCGATCTCGAGCTGGGCCACGCGTCCGCCCGGTCCTCCCTGCCGCGCAGCCCGGTTCCCATGGATCGGGCAGTGGCCTTGACCGGGTTCATGGGCGTCGGGATGGGGGGTTGTTCCTTCGCCATGGATTACTCTCTCTCGCCGGCGGCGCCGCCGAAGAGGCTTCCCTTCGACGTCGACCTCAACCTTCCGCCTCCGCCCGAGGTCGCCTGATCCAAACGCCAGCGTTGCCGATGTCGAGAGATTCGGATCACAAAATTTGCCGACGTCGACCTTAACCACATACAAAATTTTCAGCTTATGTTTGACAAGCTGTATCTATCATTTTTCCTTTTTTTCTGGCACTGAGAAAAAGTAAAAGCCATCTCAGAGATGGAACTCATTGTTATTAAATTAAATTATTTTTTGGCCAAAATTTATTATTTTTTTCTCCCCTTTTCCTTGCCAAGTGATTAATTAATATATTGATTTTTGAGGTAATAATTAAGATTATATGTATCGACCCAAGAAACGCCGTCGGACACGACTAAGTCGCCGGTTTGGGCACACGGAAACACGACAAGTAACTACTATTGCGCGTCCTGGTGGGCCCATCCGTTACATTCTACGCCCCGTAAGAGCCAATGTGTCGGTGGATCGCGATCGCATCGCTGGATGTGCTTTGCGATTCGTGCTGGTGTGAATCGATCGGTAGAGAATGACGGATGAGCAATTATCAAGCAGATGCGGTGGGCAAGCGGGTGTGCAAGCGAATAGGTGAGCAGATCGACAGCTGCAGCGGGCGATGGATTAATAGAGATCGAAATACTAATCCTAATTAACTATCAGAGATAAATATATAATTATCTCTGAATCCAATTACTTAGTCTAACTTAGAATGAAGCTTCCCATAGTCAACCCTTTTACTGGGGGCCAATGCCCACAGATTCAGCAGCCCCGACTCCACCCATTATTAGTCAATTCAAGATTTGTTCTTTCGATCGATGAGTGTAAATGATCTTATTTTAAGTCCATCAGTCACAGGTCCTAACTTATCTTTTCCTGTTCTTATTAGGGACAAATACCACTGGTTTATGTGTGTCTTCGACTTGTTCGAATCGATGCAGCAACCTCACCGTTTCACATGGGATAAGGGAAACGTCGGAGAACTCGACTGTCCGCCAATCGGGAATCGGTAATCACATCCATCTTCTTATCCGGAATAAATAACACGCGCATCCATTCCACGGCATACCATCACCACCCCCACCTCCTAAACCAGGGGCCGTCGGCGGTGACCGGAACTCCTTATAACCGTCTCGCCCCTTCTCCTTAATTCTCCATTCTCATTCCGTCTCCATCTCTCGACAGCAATGCCTGCTGCCGCCGCCGCCGCGTCTCTCGTCCTCTTCGCACCATCGCGCTCCTCCTCCTCCTCCCCGCGAACCCTCAGACGCCCCTCCCTCCTCCCCCTCCGCCGTGCTACCGTCGCACCTTCCCGCCCCCGAATCCCCCGCCTCGTCGCCGTCCGCGCGAACGTCGCCATCGAGAAGGAGACGCCCGAGGAGGAGCGGCCGGAGACCTTCCTCCGCGCCGCCGATGGCCACCACGGCGCTGCCTCTGCCTCCGTCCGCGCCCGCTTCGAGCGGATGATACGGGAGGTCCAGGACGAGGTGTGCGCCGCTATTGAGGCGGCCGATGGCGGCGGGAAGTTCAAGGAGGATGTTTGGTCGCGGCCGGGAGGAGGCGGTGGGATCAGCCGGGTGCTGCAGGACGGAGGGGTGTGGGAGAAGGCCGGGGTTAATGTGTCCGTGGTGTATGGTGTTATGCCGCCGGAGGCCTACCGGGCTGCCAAGGGAGAAGCTGTATCTGGTAATGGGAATTCTTCGGTCAAGGCTGGACCTGTGCCGTTCTTCGCTGCTGGGATCAGTTCGGTATGTGTTGGAAATCTCGTCGAGCTACATTCTTTTGCTTGGTTGGTTCGAATGAAAGTGACTGGCGTGACGATGTTGAGAATTAGGACTCTAGTTGTTAAAGAAGCAATTTATGCAAGAACTTCAAGCTCTGAGCTTTAGATCATTGGGTTCGTTTTTGGGATAGTATTGGATTTCTTTCATAGGGATTATAAGAGCTAGACTTAAGAATGTCTGAATAAGAATGCGTTAACAAATTTTATTTAACAAAGATACCCCTACTCTCCTTTCTTATACTTCCCGGTATCGACACGGGAAAAAAAAAAATTCTGACATTGAATTAGAGAAGTATTTGGTGGTCTGATCCACGAATGGATTACACTTCAGGGGAAATACTAGATCCTTCAGTGAGTCATAATTCGATTTTGGTATATGTACCGCAGTCTTGTTGAGGGGGTTAGACTGTAGAAAAAGTGCAAGGTCCCAAGTGCCTAGAAGTCACCAAAATAATTGTTTATGGCTTTTAAGTTTTTCTGAGTATGGAGATTTCATCCCTCTAATGACTTTTTTGGCATTTTAATTCTGTATAAGCTACACTTTGCATTAGGAAGACTATCATGGCTCTTCTGAGTGGCACTATATTTGATCTTTATTTCTTGTGCCATTTTCTGTCACCTAAAATTTTCTGATGTCTAAGGTCTTCGACTTGATCTTTTTCTGCTACCAAATGCTTTTAACTTAAAACCATATGTATTATACCTTCTAAATACATCATTAATTCCAGTCAGATAGATAATTTTCTCTGTCTTATAGAGAACCAACTCATATCTTCTTGGAGAATTTCAAGAGTTGGCACAAAATCTATTATTTTATTAGGCTGTTGCATCATCCAAGTAAATATACAGATGATTGTTTGTCGACTAGCCTAAGCAGATTGGTTCTTGTTTTGTAGGTTTTGCATCCAAAGAATCCATTTGCCCCAACATTGCATTTCAACTATCGATACTTTGAAACTGATGCAACAAAAGGTACCTATTGCAGAGTTTTTTTTTTCTCTGTTGTGAACAATTATAAAGGATTCATGATGATTCCAACTGTGCAGTTGAATGTTATTTATTTAGAAATGTTTTTCTCATGTACGATAGCTTGTTATGCTTTGCATGAGAAGCTCCAATGATGTCTTTTAGTTCTGGTAAAGGAATGTCTATGAGCTTAAATCTGCATACCTAACAGTAGGCATGCTCTAAGATGATATAACAGTAGGTCACTTTAGTCAAGGTGAATTGTATTTCCTGTGAAACTGATTTAGTTTTCATTTTTCCCATTCATCATTAGTCATTTTGCTTCTTATGAAACTAATTCAATTTACTAAGGCATCCTCAACTTTTTGTAATTTGACTTTCCTTTAACATTTCAATCTTTTCAGTTCTTTATCTCACGATACCAGCACCGTGTCTATCTACATAAGAGGGTCTTTTTATGCCTCATGCTCAATTTTGTTTCCTCAAATGTGTGAGAAAGAACTAATTTAGCAAGTATTATAGGATTTTCTGCAAAGTGGTCATGCTTGATGTAATGCATCAATGTATCAGACCATGTTTAACTCGTAGACATATATTATAAGGTAATTGGTTCAATTCTTTATTAATTGTTTCCAAAAATATCTAAACAAAAAAAAGAGACTTCTGATCGCAAGGAGGACTATTTCCCTATCTTTGTTGGGCAAATGTCATTTTGTTGTATTTTAAGAAGTAAGGTGCACGTTGTAGCATTTGTTGATGAGTTTGTGATTATCATGATCATCATGACTCATGGAGACTTAGTTGTTAGCATGGCTTGTTCTCATTAGGTTTTAAAAGCAAATTAATGCAAATGTTGTTTTCAACTTTGCATCAACAAGTGGACCTTAATGCTCTTTCATCATATCATCTTAAAGAGGACTATGTAGCATTGTTTTCTTTATAATTGATTTCATCTTAGTTCTCTGCCACAATTTATAAAACATGACATTAATGAATACATATAGTGTTTTTTATTATCTAATTCTTGTATTTGCCT